AACTCGGCGGGTGTAAAGCTGCTAAGGAACGCACGTCTCCCGCACACAGAGCGCTCTCCCCCACGCGAGCTGCCCGCGCGCCCCGCACCGCTTTCCCCGCGGCTCCGCCCCCACCGCGTCAGCGCTACCGCAGCTGAGGGGCCGCTCGCAGCCTTCCCAACGGCTTTACCTTTCTGCCAAAGCTCCCTCGCGACGGACTGCTGCAGAGCGGCCCATCCGCACCGAAGCCTTTGCAAATGGGGCCGGAGCAACCAAACGGCCCGCTGCCAAACCGCCCCGCGCGGGATCCAGCCTCCAGTGCGCGCACCTCGATTAAAGCCTGCTAGGAGCCTCCCGAGCTCTTCAGTGCTTCAAATCTCGAAGGTGCACGGAAGAGTTGATTGCGTCTAGGGTCAAATGCTCGATGCTATTTTGTTCCTCTGGTTTTAGGCCTGCTACACTTCGCGTGCACTTAGGTGTTGTGAAAAAAAGTGTTTCCTGGGAGGTCGTAATTGGAAAAGTCAGTGCATTCTGCACAGCCCTGCACTCCCACACCACCATTGCTTGCTGCTTTGTCCCACCTCAGTGAGCGCTTCCTAGGAGTTAAACAGAAGTGATAGCACCAGAACTGCTAGCAGATATCCTAATTGGAACCAGACTCCAAAAATTGTTATAATGTATAATTAGCAAGTGTCCATACAAAATTCAGCTACAGAGAGAGTGTGATGGTATATCCTTGCAAGTTTGTTTTCTTAAACACGGCGGAAAAAAACTCTATAAAAACATAGTATCATAGTCCTTTAAAGCAGAGATGCTTTCTCTGAAATTGGAGTGCATGCAGGGAAAGGAACATTTTGAAGTCTGAGAAAAAACAGATCTGCAGTTGAGAGCAGTTGGGCACATCTCTCCACTCAGCAGTGCTGCAGAACAGCAAAAGGACCGAGGCTCCAACCCAAAAAGTTCGCCAGGGCCCAGCTGCTACAAGAGGCAGGAGGATCCACTCCTACAGTAGAGAAACACGTCCAGGAAGTGCAAGGATCAAACTCTGCTTTCAGTACCAAATTGCTCTGTTGGCTTCTGTGGGGAGATGTTAATCCACCACTGTCTATTTGTGTTAAAGTACACTCATGTAGTGTTAAGGTTCACAGTTAAAATTAACATACAAGTCTAGAAATGGGGAAGCGTTGCTATAGCAACATTAAATTGCTTTGTATTTCATGCACTTGGACATTGTTTCTGTTTTGTGATGCTAGGAGATACTGCCAGTTTAGTGAGTACTTGAGAAAACAGTAGCTTTCAAGTCAAAACACCAATAAAGTCAGCTGATACACGTGTATTGTATTATATAAACATGCTCTTTTTCTTTTCATATATATTTGACTAAATTTGAGTCTCTATACAGTGCATTATTATAAACTGTGTTCAAAGAAATCAAACCCAGAGCTGTGCAAAATCCTGCATGCCAGTCGCATACATCAGTGTTGTATTCAGCACACGTGAACAGAACGTCAGACAACACAAACTCTTCCTGGTTTCTAAGTGCTACTCAGTGAAACAGCAATAATTATCAACACACTGATTTTTAGAGGGAACAGACTCAAGTTGCACCAGGAGAGGTTCAGGTTGGGTGTTAGTAGGAATTTCATCTCTAAGAGTGGTCAGGTGCTGGAATGGGCTGCCCAGGGAGGTGTTTGAATCACCATCCCTGGAAGCATTCAAGAAACATTCAGATGCTGTACTGAGCAGCATGGTTTAGTGGGGAAATATTAGTGGCAGGTGAGGAGTTGAACTGGGTGATCCTGGAGGTTTTCGCCAGCCTTGGTGATTCTGTGGTTCCATTACTCTCATATACATGCAGCATGTGTGCATTTCAGTGTAAGCTCTAGTGTAGCTGGACAAACAACAATTTGAAGGTTATCATCTCACATAAAAGTGAAGAGAGCTATCTTTAGAAGGAATTGCTTAAAGCCAGTCGTGCTTGTGTTTTGTCCTTAGCTGCAGGTTTCGTAAGCTTTTAGAAAGGAAGCTTTATACCAGAGTGCCTTCTAGTGGCTACGGAACTACAAATCTTAGCCTGAAATAGAAATCATAGCATTTACCAGATAATTATTTAGTAAACAAATCCACACAAAAATATATGTTTATAGATATATAACATATATAGAAATATTTTATGCTAGTCAATGAGTCAGCTTTGCATAGTAATGCTGTTTTATAAAAAGCATAATTTAAGGATTACAAGAGGTTACTTACCACATGAGTAAGAAAGCAATGGACAAATACACAGTTTAGCTTTAGGAATATACCGTGTTTGGATTTCAAGTTTATGTCAGGTGTGAAGAATTAGCAACATCACAAGTTAATTTCATTGAACAATTCCATTAGTAGTACTTATCAGAATGATTTTAACTATAATAGCCACTTATCAAAAGTTTATGCAATACTGAACCATTAAAAAAAAAAAAAAAGCACGAGTTTATACTGGTTCATCTTAACAGCTTCCAGGCACCTACTCCACAGCAGCTAAAGACCACTGTCTGCTTGGAAGAGACTGCAGACCTAGAATCAGACCAGCACTGAAACAAGGCACAGTAAGTACTTTCAAACCTCCTCAGGCATGGCAAGCACTACCAACCCAATAATCAGCTTTGAGTCTACAGAATTATTACAAACAGACCATCTTACGAAGTTACAGGAAGGAATGGAAGCTACTAGCGAAGGTAGGGATGGAGGAGCAGACATGTTGTTTGCCTTAACCACCAGCTTTGCACTGTATTCATTGAAGTCACTTCATCAAATGGCCCTTTTCTCTTCTGAAAGTCTAACAGATCAGTTAGGTATTGGGAACCGTCCTACTCAAGGGAAAATGAAAGAAGTGATGCACTGAAAGGAGGCTAAACTCATCTAAAGATTTTGTACACATTTATGAAGAGATGCATAATGCTTACAGAAGGACCTTAGTTAGGAAAGATTGGAAAGCTAGGAATGGTAAATTAACAGAAGTTACAGATGATTAACAAGCCATGACTTCCAAAACCACTTCTGTGACCAGCACCCAACAAACACGCACACGTCACTGCTAATTACCTACATCCAGAAGTAAACACTGCTGGTAACATAACTCCCAATGGAGACTTCTCAGGACAGTGTTATACCACAGAATTGGTTTCTCTCACATAATCCTGCAATTAACTTATTTACATTTGCCAAAACACATTACAAAAAGCTCTAGTAATTCATGGAATTATGCACACAAATAAAACCCGAGAATTACAAGCATCAGCCAAAGCACTAACTGTTAGAAAGCCCTCAGGCAACCTCCAAGCAAACCACCCAGCAGACAGAATACCCTTTTCCCTTTTTCCCAGGTGGTCCCCCAAGAGGCTCATGCCAGCATCATGGGCATGCAGCTGCTGCCACATCCTGGGAGCACATTGGTGCTGCTGCACCTGCACCACTGCTGTGATACAGACTGCTCAAGTCTGCCAGGACAGATCCATACCTGTCCTGACACTAAGAGCTGATGCTAAGAGCTCCTGAGGGATTTAGCGGCAGCTCCCACGTGTGCCCAAAGCTGCAGCTGTGGCCTGACAGTGGAGAGGCCACCACATCATCCATAAGACTGCCATAAAGCAGTGTGCCATGCTGAATATGTACACAAAGTCCTGAGAAATATCTAATACATAGCCACACCTGCAATTCCCTTCTCACTACTACAAGCCACTCAACAGGAGGACAACCATTTAACTTCCCCATATTAACACACATACTGGTGTTTCCAGAGACCTTCTAGGTAGCAGAATAATACCAAAAGGAGTTTTTTTTTTTTTTTTTTAACTGCAAGTGAACACTTGAGTAAGAAGAGAGTAATTAATCCTCTTTCAGTTTTTTCTATTTCTTTGTAAACTCCCCTTTTCTGTCACCCCAAAATATTACTGAATCAGATCTCAAAAGCTGTACATAAACCAAAAGAAAAAGCCTTCAATGTTCTCCTCAGGTGGATAACGTACAAATGAGTGTAGGTTCAACCTGAATTTACTTCAGCTAGTGAACAGGAACAAGGTTGATATTGTTCTATAGTTTGCAAAAATGTGAACAGTAGAGTACAGCGGAGTAGGAGTAATCTTCTTATAGATGCTTTATGCCAACTTGGTGATACCTCACACTGTGGTTCTGTGGCCCCTGGCACTGTCTGGGTATTTAAATACATCTGACAACAAATCACACAAATTCACATCAATTTCAATAGCTTACTATGTGATTCTCCTTAATCTCAATACCAGGTAGCATTCCTATTCTTAAAAGAAATACTTTGTGCAAATGGAGTTCAGATCCTGGATTTCGCACATGCATTTCGCTGTAAGCTGCATTACTTCTTTCAACTCAAACAGCCCATATGGGAAGATTCTTCCAATTAAGAAGAAAACAATAGTTAAAGCATAAATTCTCTTCATCTTTAGTCACAGAGTATGTAAAATTTGTTTCTAAGTTCTGCAGAATTCAAACAGTAGGGTGCAGTTTCACTCACTATTCTAAGCTCACCTTTCAAGCCAAATCTCCATTTAAAATTATCTTTAGTTTTCTCTCTAGGCTACAAGACAAATGTTTCTGCAAATGGATCACTGCCTGATTTGTGGCTTCTGAATGTTATCTCATGGAACACATACATATACATATACAAAGAAAGCTAAAACACTTCTGCTAAATCCAAACATTTGCAGTGCTTGCTTGATAATAAAAAAAATATTGTGCTATGACTGCCTAGCTTTTTCTTTTTTATTATTTGCTACACCTGGAATATTAGCCCTACCTGCAACGCTCCAAACATACTGAAGACAATTGCTTATAAGAGCTCACAAGCAAATTGTTGTAAGATGTTACACTTCCAACAGAGGGCTACTGCAACATGATGGAAAGTGCAGTAATGACAGCAGAGCAGCAAGATCCCAGGTTTCAGCAAGTGAGAGTTTGCACAAATGCAACAGCCATGGGCACAGAAATAACAGAAAGAAGCTGCTTACCTTCAGGAGACCTCGGGTACACAGGGATCATCAACAAGATCCCCTCACCTCCACTGCCAACCCTTAAATGAGGTCTGGGAAGGGTGGATCCTGGCTCCACCCCTTCCAATCACTCAGGTGCACTGCATGCCCCTAATCTTCCCTGGGTTGGCCCTGCCTTCCCACCAGGTGCTCAATCACTGCTTCAGACCATGACTTAGCATTTCCAATACAGGTTACTAAGAAAATAATCCCTTGGAGTGATGTCTTCTCAGTGTTTTAGCCTGAGCCTTCTACAGCTTCTTAAATCTTGACACTAACATGGCTGGCAGTTCCTTGTGGGTTTAATCTATACTGTTACAACTCCCATAAAAATAATTATAGGAAAGAAAAAAAAAAACCTGCTCTAAATTAACTGTGCCCACCAAGTACATTTGGCACAGAGCTTACAGATTAGCACTATCAGGTATAATTCAGAACCAGACTTAGGCATTCTCACTCCTGAAGTCTTCCAGACTGAGATTTCTGGCACCTCTCTGACTGCCTCTCATCTCCTTTCTATAAGAAAGCCTTCACTTGTCAGGTTCTTAAGCATATGAAAGAAAGCTGTACCTTCACATCCAGTTATACTGCTGCAGCTGCTGGAGAGAAGCAGATAAAGCACCAACTACATTCCAATACGTTAAAAAAAAAAAAAGACCAATGGATTAATTATTAACCCACAAGACATCCAAAAATACTTCTTGTTTTGTTTTGAACATGGGCTTCCTTCTGCTTCCCAGGAAAATTCATAGTCAAAGAAATCATTGTCAGCATAAGTGAGCAAACAAACAGAAACTGCATAGCTTACCATAATAAAAACACCAAGGTTTTGTATTACATGAACTGTTTACCTAAGCAGGTGGATGCAAAGGACTAATTAATAGGATATTTTAAAAATAAACAGTAGCTTTGTTATGCTGATTCATTCTTGCTAAACAGATTGTTAAGTACTGATGAGTATCTCACTAGCTATTGGATGCATAACGGTAAACACCTGTGAAATTCCACACATGTACAAGTCTACGAGTTTATTAAACATTCATTTGCTTGCCTTCTTGCTCCGCCAGTGGCTCGCTGACTTCAGACTGCATCTATTTAAACTCTCCAAAGATATTCCTGGATACAGGCATTAAAAGCATGAATTGAAGCCAACACTGGGGGAAAAGGAGTACGTTTTGATTTCTAATGTTCCCACCTTATAGGAATACTCCATAATTACTGAAACATCACAGAAGGATTATTCAAACAACATTAATCAGTACAATATTTGTCAATGCCTCCAGAATAAATTCCCTTGTTTAGCTATAAAACAATCTCTATATGAAGATTTTAGTCCAGTTTTGGGAAATATTCTCACTCCCAATTCATTCTTTAGATATAACATACTTCAGAATAACAAGAAATTTATTAGCTTTTAAGTCTACACTGGTATCTTAAATGTTTGGCAGCTACTATGTTTTTCAGAAAGCTTTCAATTCACTACAAGTTCTAAGTCAGCAGATAAATGGGTATTTAATTTGAGTGATACATACTTCATAGTCCACTGTCTTTTGGAGACAATGTGGTGTTAAGAATGCACTGAAACAAACACCATGCCTGAACTTAGCTGAGCTTGTATCACTAAGAGAGAGCATCCATGACAGCCATCACTTCAGTAATGCACCATGTGTTTGCACCAAACTGAGAGGAAAAGCTTTTTTCAAACTGCTCGTGCAGGGATGATTTAGGTCCAATGACATTTTATTTCCTTTGGAATTTGGACAGGAATATTAGTTTAACTGTCCAAGTAGAAAGTGCATTACATCACTGTAAAATTTGGGTGAAGCCTTAAGCATCTTCCTAAGTTATTTGTCAAAGCATTTTGATTACTGCCTACCACCTGCAAGAAAGTACTGTTGCACACTGAAATGCAGCTGCAGCATCCAGTTACTTGTAGGGGTGCCAGCCTTTTTGGCTGTCACTGTATCAACTATTACTATGCTGCACACATGCCACACACTGCACACTTGGTATTGTAATTTAACTCCCATGCACTGCATGAATATCATTTTCAAACAGCATTTGCATGTGACAAGAGTTCTAAGAAGCAAGAACTCGCAAGCCAGCAACTGTTGCTCAGAACACACACATTATACTGAGGAGGACAACAACAGTTCAGAAACCAAGAACAGATCAAAGATTATTATACCATCTGGTATTTTCAGAAATATTCATATTTAAAGCCAACACCCCCAAAATCTTACATAGCATTCCTTTTCCTAGCATAGCCTGCTGGCCTAGCAGCAAAATGCCAACAGTAATACTCTTTCTTGCTAATGGTTTAGACTTTATAACTGGAAAAGCATCCCTGCTGAGAGAAGAGAATATGACAGATGGCATGAGATATTGCAGTAATCTTATTGACAAAGCACTAGGCACATGAAGAAAGCTCAAAATCTATTCACATTTCCCAGTTAAACATGGAAGCTTGATAGTAAAGTTATTCAGAAAGAAGTTATCTACAGCTCTGAAAACATAGGTGTGACTTCTTTTGCTTCTGCTTTCCTAATGAAGATGTACAACTTCCACTTGGAAATAGACAAAATTTACAACTTGTCTTCCTACGCTAGGAAATGATTAAGAGGCCCGCAGCCAAGCTTTGGAGCACTGTAAGGGAAAGTTATTTAAGGTATTGAAATTGGCAGCCATTTGGGATTTAATACAGGCAAACACTTCAAATAATTGGTCTATTTAAACTAGTACTAAGAAATCCATACACTTCTGCTGACAAATTTGTATTCGGTTTAAAGAGACAAGTAAATGGGTCACTATATTTATCTCACTTTTTTGTTAAGACATTAATTGTTTATGGATAATCAAATGTTCACAGATGACTCACTCTTCTGTCATGTATCAATACCAAATGCTCTTATCCAGCAAATGGGGACTGATTAAAGAATGACTTTGTCTGATCCCAATTCTTCTACAATCCTTTCATGTGACGTTGGGAAAGCCATTCTACCTCGTTGTTTATGATTTGCTGTTTACTTCTACTCCACTTTGTCAGTCTCATCTATAATCAATAGAGAAGTTAGAGATCAAACTGTGACACAAAAAATAAAAACCTTGAAAGAAAGATACATAAATTACTATGGAAAGACAATAAATCAGCAAACAACTGGCATGCTAACAGTACTAGTTGATAACTTAAGCAAAAGTCTCCACTTCAGCACATCAGGAAGAAAAATATATAAACCTTTATAGAATCCACAAAGTAAGAAACTAGACATCAGCACACTACAAAAAGGATTTTACCTCAGAATTGTCTAATTCTAATTCTTACGTATTTTTTTTTTTGTTTAAATATACAAGTGGTGAAGGTTAAATTTCTGATGTTATTCTTGAATGTCCTTGTACAGCTGAGGTACTATTCTGGTTATCAACCAACTATGATATACCACTGCTACACTACCAGAGCTATAAGAAAATTTATTGTTTAAAAGAGAAATGCAGTCAGTGTAAAAGAAGCTTAACAGCCCAGAAATAACTACTGCATTGACCACCAGCTGTTACTCATATAACCCCATACACTCAGGTTAAGTAATGGTCATTGTTCTTCCATTTATTGGAAGAAAATTCTAAGTTTCTCCCTAGCGTAGTTCCTGAGAGGAACGTACCAACACTTCTGCATGCCATGTGCTACAGACTTTCTGACAGTGTGTACTGTCTATAATACAGTTTTAAGAAACTACTTTTTAAGGACACGAGTCTCTGGAGATGCAGATCACACACATGGGAATTACAGACACATTACTGCTATTAACTGAAAAAGAGAAAATAACAAATACAAGGTCTATAATCAAAGAAAAATATTTTCCTATTTACAACAGTATGGTTGGTAGCTTGATTCCAGAAACGTGACTGTTAAAGAAAGATTTAAAATATGGGAATAATAAGAATATTCATCAAAATGCAAATACAAAGGGTATTTTTCAAAATGAATAATGGTAAACATGAAAAAGAAGCAAGCAGCCAGAAGAAAAAAAAGAGGGTCGTTAAGGAACATGAATGCACTAATAGTGACAGATGATGCTGGTATCGCTGAAGGCCTGAATAAGTTATTTGCCTTAACATTCCTGAAAGAATTTGGAGCACATCCTTGAGACTAAAATATATTTTCACTGTGAAAGTAACATGGTGAATGAAACACGAGACAGATGTTTATTATTCCAGAGCTCAAGGAATCATTCAGTAATTAAAGCAACTGAAAACTGACATAGCATCAGAATGCAAGAAGAAATAAAACAACCTGAAAAGATTTTCACTTTGATTTCTAAGAGCTCACTGATAACAGGAGTAGGGAGAGAGAGAAATTCCCAGTGTCTATTTGTCAGTTTCTGTAAAGACCTGTCCATGTGAGACATGCTTAAGTCACAGAGAAAGGCTTAGCCTATTTTTTATTAAAATGCCTCCGAATGGTAGTGAAAAAATCCTGTCTCCTGATTAGCAAAAAGATAACAACAGTATATTCTCTTTAGTCTTCTATGAAGCCATGGTATCCAGCAATATGGCAACAACAGACAATAAGCCCATGAAAACTGATAGAGCAGCATATATTAAAATGTCTTGAATTCTCTAATATACACTTGTGAGAGTCTAATATCAATTGACATCAGTAAAATAAGCCACTTATCTCATAGAGCAAGAAATAACCCTGTCACTAAAAAGTACAGTGTATAATTTTAAGAAAGATGTGTAAGATCCTACGGTTTGTTCTAAGGTCCTAGAGGAAAGGCTGTTCTTTACTAGCTCTAAACAATAACACAAGAATATTCATGAAGTAGGTTATGTTTTGGACAATACTGACAGCAAAATACTATGGTAACTGAAATAAAGTTCCTTAAAGAAAGAATTGTACCAGTAACTAGCACCGCAATAACAAATTCACTATGAAGAATTTCAAATTCTGTGTAATTAATTAAAAGATCCTAATGTCAAAAATAAGGATTTATTTATTTATGTGTGTGTCACGTAGCAATTAAGCTGGGATTTGAATTGTCCAAGCTACCCCAGATCCCTATGCGGACGCCATTA